GCAACCACTGGGTGAGCTCAATGAGACCACTGACCTGCTGCAATGGACGATCAAGGACAACTGCATCATCAAGCACTTCATCTACCCGGTATTGCGCACCATTGTAATGAATGCTCAAATCCATTCTCAACTGAGAGATGTCTTTCACGCGAATTTGTCTGCTTCCACCTAGCCTGACACGTTGCGGTTTCATTGCCAGGGTGATGGGTACATGAAAGATCGAGGGCATCGGGCTGCCCCCATCTTTGATCATGCGAAATGCAATTTTTCCCCCCCGGCGGAAATCATCTCGAATGTCCTGTTGGCGCTGCTTTCGTATTTTGGACATGAACTGCCGTTCCTCACTCCGGTATTCACGCACAAGCAGCTCATACAGGAGGTGGACACTACCGGCATCAGGGCACACGCTGGGAACTAAACTGAAGCCACAGGCGTACAACCATCGGACAAAACCTCCCGCAAAGCCCTTGGCAGCTAAGATGGCACCCCAAAGCTCCTGGCATTTATGCCAGGCCACTTCCGTTTCACTGCCCGCTTCACATGACAGCAACTGTCTTTCAAGTGACTGAAGGCGTCGCACTTGGCGAAGACGCCTCCTAAGGCCAACTGAATGATGATTCCCTTCTGGCTCAAAGTCACCGTCGCGTCCTTTTTTGCAAATTGGGATTGATGCTGGAGTGTATGCAACAAGTTTGTCAGTCGCACGTCCAAGATAGCCCTTGCCATGGCGCACAGACCTACCCTCTACATCGCATGTGGCATGGTAAAGGACTTGTTCTGCATGCTTAGTCCAAATGGTAGCCGCACTATCAAGGTCATGCTCACTGAGTGCCTGGGCTACTTCCTGCTCCAACAATGCTTGTCTGCTGTTCGTTTCATCCTGAGCAAGAGATGCGTCAATAATGCAATCATCAAATGATTTCGGACACCAAATGCGCATCCTAGGCAAGGTGACTGCCTGTTTACGCAGGGTAGCAAGAAGAACTGGGTGGCTGTCAAAGAGATAGTCTTGACAAACATCGCAGTCCTCCAAGGCATCACGCAAACATGAGGTGCCAATCAAATACATATACCTAGTGCTATCCCGACATGTAGGGGACGGCTCGACCCCTTGACGTTGGGCAGCAACAAGGGCAAGATCTGCAAATCCACACTGCTGCAACAATGGCCAAGTAGGCAGGTCATCAAGGCTTTTGTTTAAATCTCCGCAAAGGATCGTGGGACCTTTGAAAGAGACAGCGTAGTCAAGGGCAAAACGAAGCATTTTATCTGTAAAGGCATGCGGATGAACCATCGAGGTATGATGGGGGCCATACATGCAAATCACCTGGAGGGTACACGTTGGGGAAATCTGCACAAAGGAAACCAGGAAACGCGAACTGGTTCGCAATTCAACAGGAGGGGGTTGGAGAGACTCCCACACCCGGTATGAGGCAAGAACTCCAACGCCCTGCGCCACTCCCCGAATTTCAGAAAGTCCATGCTTGTGAGGCCGAACCGGTGTAGAGAAAGCCACATGTTTACCTTCCTTGCGAAAGTAACTACGAGCATTTTGCTGAACTCGAGCAGTGGCCGAAGTCTCACTGAGAGCCCATACACCATCACCCATGCTATTGAGAACATCCATTTTACCTCCAATTGAAGTGGGGTTGACCACACCTACTTGAAGGAATTCCGATCCTTGCGGACCAGGATTGCGTGCCTCCCCAAAGCGTTGAGCTTGATGGGCAAGGAAATTATGCAAATGACAGAAATTACTAAACTCAGCAACAAGGAGGGGGGTGATGATGACAAGTACCATGAGGAACGAAATGCCGCACCCTTTCCATTTATGCTGCACAGTTGGCTTGCTTCTGGGTCGATGCCTGAATGGCAATCGCCTTCGACCTACTTTGCGCGCAGGTCTAATGACATGCTGGTTGCACGATAAAAACAGCCAAGGCGCCTCAATGCCTCTGACATCACGAGCAAGGCACCGCCCACTTTGCTTGGGCAAAGGAGAGGCAAGCATCGCACACTTCATCAGAGTGGGGAGATATGCTCCCAGTGCAACCACGGCTGATATGCAGAATGCAATATTAAAAAACAAATTAAGGTGACCCCAAATGTCAGGGGGCTCCACGGCCACAAGTCCACTCCCATTTGCACCCAAAGATGAGGCGTCGACAACACCCACACCCGACCATAAGGCAATGCAAACAAGGAAGCGACAAGGCATGGCCCATGCATCACGCTGGCACAATCTCGAAAGTGCCACACGGCCTCCAGCGCTAGGCTCATGCGCACTCTGCACTAGTCAGCTGCCTTTGTGGGCAGGACTGACCTTCCTCCTTTTGTCAGCTTCAGGATCAACCTGCATCTGATCAGCCTGTATCTGATCAAGCTTGGCATGCAACGTTTTCAGACTAACCTCGCTCTCAGCACGCATCTGTTGCATGAACTGCTTAATCCCTCCCATCAGCTCACCATTGGCAACTTGGAACTCAGTGCGCACAGTGTCAATGGTCTTGCCAAGCCCTTGGATCTGCTGCGTGTTGGCTCCAATCTCACTCTGCAAGGTAAGAGAGGCTTGCTTCTGCTGCTGCATCTCTGACTCAATGCCATCGAAACGGCTGGCAGTATCTTTCATCTTTTCCTCAAAAAGCTTCGCAACCTTCTCTTCAAGGTCATGTTTGATCTGATCCAATCGCACTGCGCTGGGGCCCTTTGCAGCAAGAGCGACAGACGGTCCTACGGCTGCACTACTCGCCTGCTCAACCCCAGTCCTGGGCACTGCAAGGCCCGCAAAGGGCCATTTCGGCAAATCATCCTGCTTTGCTGGTGACTGATATGCAATAAGCACTGCAAGGTGACCATTGATCAGGAACTCTTTGCTAGGCGGCTCCTTCGCTGACTTGACAAACCAACTATTGGCTCCGAGAGCCCTGGTCACTGTGGCGATCCAGCCATGGGCGCGCAGGGCATCAGTGAGGGCCTGCTTCGTGGTCTGCGTTCGCACATTGCACAGCTTATACTGCAGTGATGAATCAACGTCATCGGGCTCAGACTCAGAGAGAATGACATCAGGATTCAAACCTCTCTTAATCTTGCGCACATCCTCACGCTTGCAACGAATGCCAAATCCCTCCCGCATCTTGACAACCCCAAGGGCACTGGCGTGCATCTGTGCAACTGCAAGCGCTTCCTGCTTGGTCTTGTCTCTCACAGGGACAACGGCAAAACGCTCATCCCGCGCTCCTGCACCTGCCTTGGTATTCACGAAGATACCGTCTCGGCCCGACAGGGCAAGGAAGGGAAGAAGATGATCATCTCGCACTCTGAGAAAGCCATGCATGTGTGACGCACTGGTGTGATCCTGGCGGCATGGAAATCTCTGGGAGTCGTAAACTTTCAGATGCCACTTGCTCAAGACCCCCTCAGTGCAATTCACTCCTGCATGTGACTTAGCAATGTGCGTAACAATGTCACTAACTGCCGTGGCCCACTTACTGCACGACTTGTCAACAATGACTTCAAGCACAGTGGACTTTACCTCAGCAACTGTGAGCTCAGGGCACGCTGGCTTATGGTAAATTGCAATGTCACCGAACTGCAGCAAGTGCCCCTGCATGAGCGCAACACGACCCTCGGCATTGCAGGCAGTGTACTGAATGGGGCTTTCAGTTTGCTCAGGCATAGGCTGTGTGGTAAGGATGGCAAGGCCGTCTGTGGACATCTTCTTTGGGGGCATGAATGCCTTGGCCTGCTGTGGCGTCATGACACATATGCCGCTAGCGTCAGTGCTGAAATCAGCAAATGCAAGGCTAGGCACAACTTGATCGTCCGCCTGGAAGTCGGCAGACACAAGCTTGAGGTCAGTGGTGTCAATCTGCCGCTGACGCTTGCCTTTCTTGCCACCACCTTTGATGGACCACTCCTCAGTGCCTGTTGCAGTGCTGCTGTCAGTGGTAGATCTTGAGGCTGCACGCTTCTCTGTCTGGAATTGACGAAGCTCACCGGGATAAATCAGGCGGACGCTGTGGCGTGAGGCTTCTTGCTTGAGTTTATCCCAAAAAGTGGCATCCTTGGGAAGCTTATCAAACAAATCAGTGCCAAGGCGGGAGATCACAAGACCAGCTCTGTCCTGCGCAACATCACTGGGCACGCCTCTCTCAATCAGTGCACCCTTAAGGAAAGCATTGCGATCAGGCCCTCCTTTACCTTTTCCACCTTTCTTCGCACCTCCATGCAAGGGGAAAACACGGAAAGAGACAACACCATTGCACATGCTAACAGCAGTGTCAAGAGGGGTCTCAGCGCCATTGACAAATGCACGGACCTCTTCTGGCCACTCCGGATGCTTGGCAATGACATCATGCAGGCAAAGGTCCTCACGCATGAAAGACACAATGACACGGGGCCAAGCAGGGCCACGGTACCACAACTCATGATCAGTGCTGCTTCTGCTTTGCGCCAGACACTTGGACCCCTATGAAAGAATCTTGTCAGCCCGAAAGTTTGTACACAAGCCATACTCCCCACTTCCTTCGCCTCGTTCCATTTCGCGTGAGTCGCATGCCCAAATGCACGGCCGAGCAGCTCAGAATGCCTATGGTCAGACCGGATTGAGCGGCCTACATGCCGCGCCCTTGTGATTTGGCCTGATTTGGCTAGGGGAAAGGCCTGCATAGGCGGCTTGTCAAGAAACCAATTAAAAGAATCGTGGTTTGTCCGCGGAGGTCGATTGGTTGGTCTCAGGTTTCCTTGGGTTTTTTTTTTCGGTGCCCAATTTCTACTGCCCATTGATGGGAGCTTTAAGCAACTTATTTGGCCTTGAACATCTTGAAGCGGAAGCCCTCAAAACAGGATGACATGAATCTCAAGCTAGACAATGCGCACCAAAGGGTCATGGAGTTGTAAGAACCCACGCCTCGCTTCTTGATTTCTGCGAAAAGGAGACCTGCAAACCTCACAACCCAGACCCCGCATCCCTGGCACGACCCCCTTGTTCACACTTGGATATGGGGTTCGTCCCAAGTATGTGCGGAAACCCAATGTGGGTCAAAGTAGGACCCCGAAACGGGCGGCTTACAAGGGAGCCCTCAAAAAACACAGGCCCAATTGCCAACTCATTTTGCTAAGTGTTTTCTCCAGCTCAGCTTGTGTCCGTGGGTTCTGGGTGCTTGCTTCGGTCCCTCAAACCCTGCAACCAACCTGATCAGAACGGGGTGATGAAGACTCAATGAACTCATTCCAGTTCCGTTAAGACCGGGGTGATTCTGCCAAGATGGCTGGCCTTTGTTTGGTAACTAGGCTTATGCACCCAGTCCATTTAAAACCAAAGCATCCGGTTGCCCCACGCTTTCGGATCGCGCCATGCCAGGAGGCGGAGGGCTTGCCGGTCGGCGCCGCAGTGGCCTTGGCCGGAGCCGGGGCCCCTAGGTTCAGATCGCGGTCCGCCGGGGCTGGTGTTGTTGTCGCTGTTGTCGTTGCTGCGGTTGTTGTGGTGGTGCTGGCGGGGGTAGTGGTTGTGGTTGTGGTTGCTCATGACAAGGCTCTGCTGCTGCTGATGATGATGCTGCTGATGCCGATACTGCTGATGATGATGATGCTGATGACGACGATGATGATGATGCTGGTGATGGTGATGCTGATAATGATGATTGTGATGGTGATGGTGATAGCTGATCATGGTTATGCTGGTGGTGATGATGATGATGGTTGTGCTGATGCTGTTGATGATGCTGCTGATGATGCGGGATGCTGCTGTTGGATGATGTCGTCGTCGTGTTTTTGGCGATGCTTATTGTGTAGCTGGTGGTGACGATGATGCTGATGTTGCCGATCATGATGACGACGACAATGATGATGATGATGATGATGATGATGATGATGATGATGATGATGATGATGATGATGATGATGATGATGATGATGATGATGCTGCTGCTGCTGCTGCTGCTGCTGCTGCTGCTGCTGCTGCTGCTGCTGCTGCTGCTGTGTTTTTTGGTGATGCAGATGCTGGAGATGGTGGTGATGATGAATGATGGTGGTGCCAGATGGTGATGCTGATGATGTTGATTATGCTGATGATGTTGATGATGCTGCTGATGTTGTTGTCGTGGTTTCTATAGTGCAGATGGTGGTGGTGATGCTGCTGATGAAGCTGCTGATGCTGCTGATGATGCTGATGATGATGATGACGATGATGATGATGATGCTGATGATGCTGCTGACTGATGCTGATTCTTTTCATGGATAAGACACCCAGCCATGTTAGCATTGTTGGGGGAAATGCGATGGGCTACCGTTCCTCCATGGTTTGGTGCAAGGGACCTCTTTTGAAAGACGAGGCCTTTCCTTGAGAATGGGCTTGCGCGGAAAACGCAAATTATTCACTGGTTTGATCCCATGGTCAGTGTATGAAGAAAAGTATCTTGCTGCATGAAGGGCCTCACTGAATTGCTGTATGTCAATTGCTTAGGTCCTCACTGAAAGCGGTGTGTCCACTCTTTAGTTCTTTACACTTCAGGCCAAGGCAGATTGTATTTTTTTCTACTGGAGTTGGACAACTGGGGGTTCACATGTAGAAAGGACCCAAACAAGATAGCTTTGCATGCCACAGACTTGGAGTTTTGTGGTTTTGGCTGCTTGTGGCCATTTTGTTTTGAGGCCAAAGACCCTTGGCCTTTTCGATCATGAACCCACGACGCACAGAGTCCTGTCTCACCGCCTAAGTTAGCCACCCTACTAAAGTATCTGGCAAGTAGTTTGGCCCCCCTATGTTGGCCTGATTTGCCTTGATAAGACTTATCCCTTGAGTAAGAGCTGGGCCAAGCCCCCAGGAAACACAGACTTTTGAACCGATCTTGTTTGAGCAATTAGTTCCCCGTTTAGGGTTGCCAGGCCTCTGGTGCTTGTTTTTGGGGTTTGGGTCATGGCCAATGGACCTGCTGACTTGGGGGGGTTGGGTAGGAATGATCATTGACCACTTGAAATCGGGGATTTTAGGCACCTGCAAGGGGTTCCCAAAGGAACAACATGACCTGGCGGAGTTTTGGCCACACTGTTGGGCAAGCCGGGAATGAAGAGGGATATTCGGACGTTTTTGGTCGGAGTTCCCAAAGTTTCCCCGGAGGTTCAACCAACTCGGTAGGTTGCAAGGGGATCAACCCCCTGCCCAAGCTACCAGGATCACCAGCCAAGCCCAGGATGAGCTGATTGCTGGTGGCCGTGGCGTGGCTTTCCATAAGCCGCCGGAGCCTTGGGTCGAGACATGTGCGCTTTTTGGTTCAAGCGGACGCAAGGGCACCGGTTCCTCGGGTTGTGTTAAGGGGAACCACGAGGAAGCTCTTTTTTGGCCTTCTCCGATTTTGAGACAAGACCCACATAGGGCAGCACATGACACAGGAACGCTGTGTGTCAGAGCTCAGAGAATGCCCCTCACTCTTGATGTGTGTGTGTGTGTGCGCTGACAGAGAACTGCCAAGCATCAGTCGAGCCACCATCGAAAGTATCTTGACGGATGCAACCATACTTTAGGGCCTGCCTCTATCAATAAATCGCATGCCTTCTTTAAGAGGGTGGGGGGGCCTACCGACTCGCATCGAATTTGGCAACATTTACCCCTAATTCTGGGGCACGTTCACCCCCAAATTGGTGGCACATTGGTGGCACATTGTGAGCAATTTCCCCACGCAAATGGGTTTGAGGGTGAAATGTTGGGGTAATGTGGTGGTGAAGTTGTGGTAAGTCGCGGGTAAATTGGGGGGTAAAGAGTTACCGCCACAGGCAAGGCTTAAACAAGACGGTACCCTGGTCAAGCTGATGAAGTCCTCGAGTTGTGTGGAGAGAATGTGCAGCGATCAACGGAAGACCAATGGTTGCGCGTTGTGGTGTTGGTGTTGGTGGTGTTCGTGGTGTTGGTTGTGTTCGTGGTGTGGGTGGTGATGCCGTTGATTCTAATGATGCTGATGATGTTAGTGATGTGTGTGTGCTGCTGCTGATGCTGGTGGTGGTGGTGATGCTGGAGATGCCACTGGCGCCAGGAGCGTCTCGTTAGGGCTATGAAATCTGGTATGCCTGAATCATACGCCTTGCAAAAGGCTGCTGTGCTCCTCCTTCAATACCTCCGCCTTGGCTCTGGGCCCTCGTGGTGCAAGCGTGACCAAGACGCCCCCACAAGATGGGGGGGGGGAAGGCCAAAGGCCACACAAACCAAAGACGTTGCCAGGATTGGGGGGGGGGAGGCAAGGCTAAAGGCCAAATAAACCAAAGAAGTGGCCAGACGCCAAGTCAAATCTTTACCTTTGAGAGGTTTTTGATAAGTCTGCAGTTTCCTTGACTCTGGAAGAGGGGTTTTGTGTGTGGGTGTCAAAACCTGTTTGGGATGGTAGCTTGGCTGCTATTTGGCTGGATCTTTAGACTGCAACTTTTTGGGAAACGATCATGTTTCCCTCTAAATAGCGACGAGCGAAACTTTTGCCCAGGGCGATTGAGCCGTCCGGGTTGGAATGGGCATGGATAGGGGTCAGTGTGTTTTGGGGATCTCCCGAACGGTGTGAGCTGCCGCGGTCATGTGGTGACCTTTTGTCAAGATAGCATGACCGTGGTAAGACAGTTTGGACCCTCTTCAGCCAATCCACTCAGAGTTTTGACCCCGCATCTCATTACCAGACTGAACCTTTTTGCCCTTTGTGCTTTTGCCGTACTTCCCCACCAGGTTTGGGGTTTGCTAGATGTTACGTGACATCCGACCACCGCAACCGGCCCGCCCGCCGACAGAGCCTGTGACAGACAGCTGCGATAGAACCTGACAGACGCTTGTGAAGCCTGAGGGCTCCTGCCAGTGGCCGGGCAACAGCCCGAAGTTTGAGGCCTTGTGCGACAGCCCGACAGGGGCGAGGACAGCCGCGACAGCTCGAAGTCCATAGCAGCTCTGGCTGCTATTGGGGTCAACGCTGCCTTGGTTCGCCTTGGTCCCATTTTGATTTGACTGGGTTTCTTTGCCGCCGCATCAGCCAACATGGCTGTTGCCCCCCACGCGCAATCGGATTGAGAGTTTATTTTGGTGCCTGCGTGCTTGCATTCTAGCTTAGCCTTCCTGTGTTCGATTTAAAGCACGGTTCGAACCGTGTTGACAAGCAACATGTGATTTTTGGCAGTGAGTCTCAAAGATATGGCGAGGTCAGAGGAGAGACCAGATACAGAGTACTTCAGCTGGGTGCCATAGCGTACTTGTTAGTTATTTCAGTTATTTCCATAGGAAATCAGTGTACAGTTTTCCAGACCCCTTATCTTTTGTCAAAGATGCTCATGGTGGTTTCCATGTCGATCATTATCCCCAGCCATTGTTTTGAACGTGGGGACGTAGTACAGGTGTCATTGAAATCGGGAGCCCCGAAAAGGCTGGTTTTCCTGTTGGCTTCCTTTTTAGGTCCACCCCAAAATTGAGAAACAAACACCAACACATGTGTAAGGGCGGCGCTCAGGGAATGACGGGTATGTGTGAAGCCTTCATGGGCGGCGCGGAGAGGGATGATACAAACCATTCAGCGGGGTACTTCTTAGTTTTGACCAGGAAGGATACATACGCAGGCCTTCCACACATGCAGTTGGCTTGCAGAGTTGCCGAAATGGTTCCGGGGTTTCTGGGGTCTTGGAGGTGGTTTTGCCTACGAATCAATCGAAATTGCTCGATTTTGAAGAATTCAAAACCACTTTTCCCTTAAAGCCTGAAAGGGAAGCATCAGTCTCCTTGGCGCATCCCCTCATTTACTGCCATGTGTGAGTATGTGTCTCTCTGTGTGTGTTGTGTTTTTGCATTGTTTTGAGGGTTTTGTTTTAGGTTTGGCTTCCAGGGAAGCCCAAGAGTACAGAGCCGTTGCGCCATTTCGGGGGTCCCAATTTCCCCTATTTTGACACGTGCGAAGCCATCGCCATCGCCTCGTCAGGTCTGGGCGGCCCTTCCACATCGAGCTGGTGGAGGAGAAGGCGCCTTCGATCGGGGCACTCTCACGCTCGTGAGGTGTGGCTCCCTCGTTTTTTGTTGAGGGTTTGGTTGGGACATGTGGCTGTGGTTGTCAAAACCAATGGTACCATTTTGGGGCTTTCGGTGCACCACCCATTTTAGCCTATTTTAGTGGGGATTGGGATGTTCACTGGGGGTACGGGCTTTTGACCCATGGCCATGTGTTTTTTTTGAAGGGAGCACCTAAGGTCGATACTGACCAGGGTGGGGCCAACCCCCAGTCAAAACAAAACCATGTTTAAATACCTATTGTCTAAACAGCCTCCATGTCGTTGAAGGTGGCCAGGGTCTGGTTGGTTAAGCTCCGCTTTCCCAATTGGAATGTGCCACCGGGATTTCATTTTCGACCCTCGGGTTCGAACAGGTTCCCTTTCGCTCGGATCATATGAGGGCAACAAAGAAGATTCTAGGCGGGTTTTGGGTGGTTCATTTATCGGTGCAAGTTGATGGGTATCGGTTTTGGGTAGTCCCTTGCCTATTGGTTTCTGGTAGTATTGTCAGGTATTCACCTGATGTGTGTAGCATCCCGTCCGTTTCAGGGCGACCGACTTTTGTTAATTAGTTTCAGGGGTTTGTTGGGGCGTTGGGAGTAAGACCCGCTCCCCAGCTTGGAGACTTGGTTGCTTCAGCGACCCACCCAAAGACTCCCACCGGTAAGGCCGCAAGTGTTCGGCCTTATTTCTTGGTAAACTCTTGGGGCCGCTTGTTGGGGGGTGATGGTGGGGATCCCTGATTACTTGCCGTGATGGGAAAGAGAAAAATATTGCAGGGCACGGGTGGATTTTTCTAGTCGCAAGCAAGGCCGAAAGTTTGTCTCGTGCTTTCCGCGCTGGCTGTTGGAAGGGGGCGGCCCCGGGCTGAAATCCCGCTTGGTCTGCGCAGCTCACGCGAAGTACACTTTCGTAGCAGTGGCTGGAACATCGCAACTCTTCAGCACTTTTGCATGTCCGAAAGGAGATTCGTACTGATAGAAGCTTGCTCACACAGCTTGATGAGGCGCACTTGCTCGGACAGACTTGCGCAGAAACTTGCCGCAGAGCCTTGTGCAGAGAACTTACTCAGAGAGAAATGTGCACTCAACAACTTGCGCATAGAACTTGCTCAGAGAACTTGCTCAGAGAACTTGCTCAGAGAACCTGCGCAAAGAACCTGCGCAAAGAAACTTGTGCAGAGAACCTTGTTGAGCAAACTTGCCACGATATTGTTTTATTTCGCAGAGGAGCTTCCTCGGACAACTTGCGTGGAGAGCATGCTCAGAGAAGCTTGCTCAGAGAACAAGAGAACAGAATCAGATCATGCTCTTATTGCGCTGTGAGGACATGCTCTCGCATTTCACTCGGTCAGCTCTGCTTTCGGGCCACCCGTCTTCTATTCTTTCCGGGTGCAGAAGGGGCTGAGTTAGAAGTCGACAGACGTTTGGTGTGAGGACTTGCCCTCCTTCTTGGTGCGCCGTATTCCGGCCCGGCGCTCGGGAGGTGGAAGCGGGCTCCGATGAGATTCGGACCCCTTTCCGGAGACATCCGTTCGGGCCCCTGATCTACCATGCTCATTTTTCCTGAAACGGCTCCCTATTTTGAGGCAGGACTATGGTCCAGAGGTCTGTGAGGCTTGGTTGAAGAGTTATTTCCTTTTGGGGGGACCCCAAAAGGAACGGGAGCAGGATCCTCCTTTCCTGTCTCCCTTTGGAAGATCATCCCAGTACCAGGCCTTGTTTGGCGAGGGGTGGGGGGGGTTAGTTGGGGTGGCTGAAGCCTATGACAACTTGGCGCGAAGACCTCGGCTTCTCTCCCGACACGACCCCCGACTGATGGGCAGTGGTTAGACCGGGGTTCAGAGTGACAACATGGTGATAGGGGGTGGCGTGTTTTGGCTTCACAGACTGGAATTGTCCACAATTATGATCCAAAATGCAACGGCACACGCAGTTATGATGGAGGCTTGCATGCCACAAATGTAAGCTTGTAAGGCAGTATGCATCCCTTAGTTCAGTGACTGATGTAACCTGCATACCTCCCAAGCCTGCCTGAACACCCTTGATCGCACGTAAACCGCCCACACCACGCGGGGCAAATTGCAGGCGTTCCCTTATTTCCTACTTGCAATTGGGGAATCCACCGGCAAGCCTTTTGCAGGGGGTCAAAGATCAATTCCGGGGCCTAAATCCAAATCTGTGTTTGTTTTGTTTTTTAGGTCAGGCTAAAACAATGAACAACATCCTGCTCAGGTTGGGACGAAGAAAGCCCGATGAATCTGTGTGTGACAACACGCCAATCCGAACTCGCGCTTCGGATGTTGAGTATCATTTCTGGACCCCGGGCTGGGGCCAAGAATTGATTGGGCACAGATCGACTGTTTGCCATGGGCCAGCCCTTGCCCAGTGGGAATCAAGCAAAAACTGCCACATACAGTTGGGAAGCCACATGTTTCATCCCAGGAAGCTGTCAAGAAAGCAATCCTGCTTGCTTGGATTTTCGGTGGGTTTCAGCTGGTGTTTAGGCAACGTTGCGCTACAAGAAGCCATTGACTCCTAAAAGAGTAGAGTTCCAAATGAGAAACCTTCAGTGGTTTAAAGATGTTTGCGCTTTGCTTTGAACTTCAAACCTTTGACCTTTTTGGAAGCAGGCCTGTTTCCTCACAGCCTCACAACTGCCACTCACCGCAAGCAACAGATATGGCCTTTGCATTGGAAAGGCAGCTGCGTGAAGCACCCCCCCCCATCACTTCCGTCCCTTGATTTCCAGCTGTTTGGACCTCCACAAGTGACATTTGTTGCAGTGGACCCACCAATAAATTGCAGCTGGTGCTTTGCACAAGCAGCAAAGCATTGCCAACCGGACATTTGGGTTGGCGAATCCGACATTCGACTGTCCTTCTCGAGATTGGGACAGCCTTTCCGAGGTGTATGCCTCACACGCAAGCGCCGCCGAGTTCCGCCTCTCTGAAGAGACTTGCAGGCGGGAACGTCCCAAATCCGTGGTGCCTTTTGCTTCGGGGCCATGTGGATTAGGCAATGAGGAAGCCGCTCGAATTCCTGCCATAGGACCGGCCGCTTCCTGGTGAACGTGTGGGGCCCGAGACAAGCCTCCGTGAGCCAGATAATTGGCCAGTGAATTAAAAGTTGTGTGTGTGTGTGTGTGTGTTTTAATGAGGTTACCCAAAGAGAAATCAAAGAGCAACACACTGTTTTTCGGGTTCCTTCATAACAGGACAGACCCACATGCATTCCAAGCATTGGGTGAGCGGCAACGGGATCTCTGTGTTTGTGTGTCTGTTTGTGTGTCTGTGTCTGTGTCTGTGTCTGGGTCTGTGTCTGTGTCTGTGTCTGTGTCTGTACCTGTGTGTCTCTGTCTGTGTCTCTGTCTCTGTCCCTGTCTCTGCCTGCCTGCCTGCCTGCCTGCCTGCCTGCCTGCCTGCCTGCCTGCCTGCCTGCCTGCCTGTCTGTCTGTCTGTCTGTCTGTCTGTCTGTCTGTCTGTCTGTCGATTCTAACTTTTCTTAAAGGATGGCTAGGGTCAAAGACATGATTCATTCTGGCTTCGTTTTGACCTTTATCCACCCCTTCTTTGCTTTTTGAGCTCTTGGGGGCGTCCTGGAAATCGGGTTTTCTTTCTTGCTGTTTCAAGCAAATTAAGCGAAAACGAGCCTTTTTGTTGGGTCCATGTTCTTCTTTGAAATTCATGCATCATCCATCTTGTGAAAAGTGACCATGGTTCGCAATGGTTCCCAACCAAGATGAGTTCTGTGACACCAAACACACTCTCTTTTAAATGGATCCATGTGGAAGGCCTTCGGTTTGTATCCCAGAAGCGAAATTGCAATTCCCACAGCCCTCCACAGCTCCAACTGAAAGGGATCTTAAGTGAAGACAGGGGTCGCAGATATGGGCTTCAACCGCAGATGCGGCAAAGCAAGCCCGGGTGTTTATCTCTCTTGATTATTGGTTGAAAAAATGTCTGTTTTCTCGCTTGTGAGTGGATAAACGATAGGTTTAGAAGGCTACCAGCTAATCAGGCTTATCCAGCCGCCTAGCCCTTGGTCGGTAGGGTCACACAAGGAACAGACTCGTGAGCCGACGTCTGTGCTTCCTGAGGACCCCCGTGTTGGCTTGTCAGAGGCTCAGAGGGCATAGCTTCTGGCAAATGAAAGCATGGCCTTGCAAAGGGCTCGTGGCTTCGGACTCAGACTTTGAAATCGACAGGTTTTACATGGTTGGAAGGCCAATCTTATTTCGCTTGTAGTGGAAACTTGTGGGTGGGTGGGTGGGTGGGTGGGTGGGTGGGTGGGTTAGGTTGCCACTTGTGAGCCCTTCGGGACTCCTAGATGGCCAGTTGGGACACCGCCAATGGTTCAGAGTCTTTGGACAAAGCCTTCGAGCACCATTTGGCACACACCTTGGCAAGGAAAGCGAAGGACCGCTTGTCGCATTAGTCTGTTCAGAGCTTTTGGAGAGAGATGAATGGACATAGGCTTGACCACTGACATCGTTGCGGCATCTTACAACGTCAGGCACCAGATGTATTTCCCGAGCGCCGACGTCACTGCAATTGACCATCCCCAGTTCTCTACCTCGAGACATATGGAGCAATTGCAGCGCCGGACTCCCGGAAACTCAAGCAAACGAGTTCCGCGAGATGAAGCATGGGAACACGAGCAGAAAAGGGGGGCCAACTCGCTGTCCGAGTTGGACTGTAACCACTGGGAAGATCATTTTAGCTTTTTTTTTGGGTTGGGGGGGGGAGAGCGGGTCGGGGGTCCGAGTTTTAGTGTAGACCCAAACTCTAGATTTCTTTTATCTCCAAGGTATTGGTTTCGAGCCTACAAGCTTCCAATTTGATAGAAGCCCAGCCCTGACTCCCGCTTACAAAACCATGTGTGTGTGTGTGTGTGTTTTGTTGAATTGGTACCTTTTTTGGTGGTTTTAAAGGGAGCACAAAAGGAACACCATCATTTATGGCCTATTTAAACACATTCCGGCGAGCTCCTGGGGATTGAGCATGATCCCTGAAGTCAGGTAACATATGGCTCTGCATTTCAAAGTGGTAGTTGTCGGGTTTCTGATCAACATGTACACAATATATATATATATATATATATATATATTTAAAGGCATTTAAATCTGTTCAGGTTGGCTTGGAAACGCAACGGGAAATCAACGATACCCATTTCGGAGGTCCGATCTTGACGGAGAGACTCCCTCACGCACACGGCCCTTTTTCGGAGGTCTGCACTTCCAGGTTTGTTGATGAGATAGTCATTCGCCCAGTTCAACGTGCTTCTCAGGGAATATGGGTAACAGCTCCATTCCTTCGTGGTCTCCACATTTGTGCAGATAACATAGAACCCACCAAAGCATTGTCTTCAGAGGAATCTCCATTGACTCATGAGGTATGCTAATTTCGTGTGAGCATAAAAGCATGAGCGACCTCACTCTAAGGGGCGGGGGGGTTGCAATCTGACCCACCATCAAAGTTGCATATTTTTGGATTTGTCATTCTAAGCGTATGACATACTTTTAGTTACTTACTTGCCTGGAGTTATTGCGGTGACTCAACAAAACGACATGGAACCCAAACAGTTTTGGTTTTCCAACAGAGTACTAAACGAGTTTGTTTGTTGGGTTCCATGTCAACCTGAGATGAGGAGCAATTCCGAATTGTTTCGACCCGCCTGTTCTGGGTTCCATGTGCGTTTTTTGAAATGCGGAACATGGGATCCATGTAGCCCGATCAAACAGTTCCTAGACCAGACGGAAGGATTAGGGGCTTGGGTTTCCTCGACAGAACCAAATTCGCCAAGGAATCTTCCTGGAATTGGACCTTGGGTTCCTTCCGTTCATTTGGGGAGTGCTGTCTAGGATCGATAGACTGTTGGTGAATAAGAGGGGATCCTTCACTTTTTTTGGGGGGGGGGCTACCTTTTTTCGGTCAACATGCAGTCATAGGTTCCAAGGCAGTTCCCATCAGAAACCTGGCACATCGCCAAAATTCAAGCACTTGAACATGAACTCTTGGCCACCCAAAGTTCGACCACAACCAGGGAACCGCCCATCCAAAGTCCCCTCTGAAAGAACCCAGCAACACCAGCATACCCTCCCACCCTTCACTTGGCTGACTTTCGGGGGGCCCTGGTTTGGACCCCCCGAACGTCAGGTTCCACGTGAAACGTTTGGGACAGTGTCCGCCAAAACGGGACTCGCGAGAGACCGAGACGTGAGGTTCCACAACCAGCGCATCTCCTACGAGACCGCGCTGGACATGGCCTCCGCTCTGGGCTCCTCGCCCGAAAAAGCGCTTGACGCGGTCTGTGGCCGAATCGCTTGGTTTTTTATGGGTCTTCTTAACCTCCATAAAAGCGATTCGGTTTACCGGGCTTTGACAAGCCCATTTATAGCCAAAGAGAGACTGCCAAGTGGGTATGTGGGATATGGACCTGGCCTTTCCTTTTGGTTCTTTGAGCCAACCTGAAAAAACGGTACCAAGAAGCAACCGCAAACCCATGCGAGGGCAAACAAAAACCCATATTGGCTATTTTATTAGGTGACTCTACTACCATCTTAGAACCAAAAGTCAGCGGGTTTCAGTTTCGTGGTGTCAAATGGGGAACCCCCGTTTCGGCTGTTCTTTTGGCTGAGGAGCAAGGGTTGGCCATTCCCTTTCAGCTCATGGAGTTTAGACCTTCATGGAACCGTGACCACTGGGATCCTACGATTTGTTCACATGGATTGTTTAGGCTGAAGGCTGGGCGCACATGTAGAACAAGCCTTGAAGAAAAGGTCCACATAAAAAGTCACTTTGCTGCTCTTGGCATACGTATTTTGGACTTGTGCTGATTTTTTGGTTCTGTCCGGTTTTCTTGGTGTGTGTGTGTGTGTGGGTGGGGTGACGCTACAGCAAGCTTGTTTTGGTGAATATACCGCATTGTTGCTTTTGTAGAGTGGTTTGCAGGTAGTGGAACCATGGTGAATCACGTATGATCAAACATGGGTTTAGACCCACTTGCCCATATGATTGTGTTTGACAAGTTTACCAGGCACCGATGACTGCATGTTTCTTGGTTACTTGGTTTCTTACCATGGGTCAAAATCTTCGGATGGACTCGATGTGTTCATGGGTACCCTCGAGAACTTGGTCAGGACGTTCTGTCTGGAATTAAGACACCAAGTGATGACTTGACACTCAGATGGCATGTTGTTATGTGCAGGTTTTTTCTGCCTGGCATCAGTAGATAAGCCAACGCCAGTGTGGAGTTCCCCCACCACCCCGGATATACGCGACACTTTCTTGAGCCGATAGGCAGTCTAGGACATCGACCGAGGAGTGGAAAAGGGGCTTGGTTCAACACTTGCAGATGCATTGGCAGAGTGTTTATGTGGTTGGATTCCTTCTGCCTTTTGGGTGTTCCATCAGCCTGACAGTATATTGTCAGGGCGTCTGTTTTGGGTGGGCCCGAATTGGCTTTTGGTTGTATTCTCCGGCATTCACATGGATGTCTCAAAAGTCGGGGCACCTCCCGCTAACATGGTTTGCCCATAGCTACCCTTGAAAGCCGTCAAAAGGGGTCCGAAAAGGGCCACATCCCTTTGTATATACAAATGAATGCTGCTTATGTCTTCGAAAATTGCCAAACGAGCCGAAAAGGGGGCCCTCATTTTGGAATGCAACCCATAGCAGCCGCCTGCAACACCAGCATTTTTTGTGTAAACCCCTCAATGGTTTGGTTGCTTAAGACTGATGCCCATAGACCCATAGACCCACCTGTTTGTAGCCATGAAGCTTGCTCTACATGATCAGTCCAAAAGAAGCAATCTTAGTGGGTCTTTGGAGTGGTTTGAAGGATCCCTAAAATCAGACATGGACCCTGGCGGGTTGCTTTTCCCGTTTGCCCTGAACACAAACGAGTGTGTTGAGATAGCTCTTGGTTTGCCGGTCATACATATTTGGTGATTTGGATTGGTAGGGGGGTTGAAGGTGGTTTTGCATTTACTCTCAACAGGCAAACAAAGTTCAAATCCCCAATCCGCAATCAAAACCGCTACTTAAGGATGATAAGGGACTCAACAATTACAAATCATTATTCCATGATCGTGACTTAGTTTGGTTTACTACTACCCCAACCACCACCCCCCATTTTAATCATTGAGGCCCCATCATCAATACGATGCATACACGCACACATACAATTCTATACATATACACAGGTGTTGTCACACTCAGGAGGCCTATACTGAGGGACGTGCTTACAGGTGTATATATATATATATATATCTGTATATATTAAATATATACACGCCCAGGACGGGTGGGTCGCCGTCGGTCCAGCACCTCGCCCGCCCTGCTTTCAGAGCTCCTGCCAGTGGCACATGGAAAGCATCTCGGGGACTCAGCCTCTGGGCTCTGGATAGGGCTTGTCTATACATTTTGCACGCGTCCAGGACTGCCAACAAAACATCCGGTCGCTTATGCAAGTGTGCACTTCCAAGCGCCACTCGTTCCGTCTTTGACGAAGCGTTAAAGCGGCCCAGCTGGCCCATGCGGCGCATGTTATTCTTGATGCGGCCTCCTGCGCTGTCATGAGCCTACCCTGTCAGCCGAAACTCTCTGCAGTCAAAAAGTACCTCCGCAAATAGCGCGCTAGAGTGCACGAGGGTGCGCGAATCCCACTGGCACGGCGTGTTTGCCCTTGGCGAATCGGGAACCCCCTGTCTGGGGATATTCTGGTTTTGGGCCGCCCTTGAATTGCTTGAGACTTGCGTGGACTATTTTTGTTGCGACGTGACACACGCACACGCACGACATACATAACTGCATACATAAATACGGACATACAAACACAATACATACATACATGCTTAATGCATGTATGCATGCATTCACACACAGACAGACAGACAAACAGACAGACAGACAGACAGACAGACAGACAGACAGACAGACAGACAGACAGACAGACAGACAGACAGACAGACAGACAGACAGACAGACAGATAGATAGATAGATAAATAGATAGACAGGCAGACAGACAGACAGACAGACAGACAGACAGACAGACAGACAGACAGACAGACAGACAGACAGACAGACAGACAGACAGACAGACAGACAGACAGACAGACAGACAGACAGACAGACAGATAGATAGATAGATAGATAGATACACAGATAAACAGGTATACTGATACGCAGATACATAGGTTGACACGTATTCATATTGACACGTACATTTGAAGCTAGAATGCGCGTCAAGGTCGGATCCTGGTCTTACCGGGCTTCTTCAAGTTTCCCCACCCGGAGGCCATGGAATTCCGCGAAAGCGGGGCTGGGCTGTGCCCCTTTTCACTTAGGGTTGGTTGCAAACGTGGTTCAAATCTATTTCCCTGGGCAAGTTTGGTACAAACAAGTTTCAACCAGCTTTCTTGTCGTGGGTGCCAGTCTTGAAGCTTATGCTTCAGGATTCTAAGTGCGGCCCCAGTTTGCAAGAAGCATGCCTACCCCCCGCCCCCACCACATTTGTACAATTAATGTGATTTTGCATGTCATCTTTTCTGGCAAACAACACATCAAACAATTGCATCTCAAACCAACCAGAAGAGGGGGCAAAAAGCCAGCTCCAAACTACAGTTTGGGACCTTCAAAAAAAATATACAGCCCCCCAAGATTCGCAAAGACGCTCCCCAAAGATCCCCCAAATCCAGGATCTCTTGAACACATATTTTGCATTTTCTGGTTCACTAGATATGGACCAGAATGAACAACATCATTCCTTTTGGTTGGTGGCAAAAGCTGAGAGGCAATGGCTCGCCCTATTTCGGCCCTTTTTTTAAACATTCCCCCACCAATCAGAAACTCACCTGAAGGGTGACGCTGAAAAACCACTACAAGGGGAAATGGAGCGATCCTGGATTTAATGGGATATACACACCTTTGTTTTCGGTGGCCATGTAGCGGTATATCCAGATTTTTCCTTGGGGGATGGTTTGGGGCGGTGCTTAAAACCGCTGGAGGAAAGATTCGAGATTCTGACAACCCCAACCCCAATCCAACCCCACACTCTACACCCACGCACCCCAGCCGCCCCCAGTCGCTCATCCCTCCCCGCGCTCGCCTTGAAGCGGCCAGCCCTACGCGGGCACCCAGTGGGTGCCTTTCCGAGAGCTCTTCGACCTTCCAACGCGCGTTGCCCCGGTGGGAAGGGTGCAACAGGGCCCCTGACTTTTTTTTTTTTCTCCTTGTGCTTTTCTTTGGGGTTCTCCAAACATTGCCGTGTTGTTTTGGGGTAGAGTACTTTATATTCTCCAAGAATATGAAGTTTGTTTTTGAGTTGAGTAGCGTGAGTGATTAGTAAAGAGCTCCCCCCACCCCCCCAACAAAATGCGGGAGGTCAATGGAGAGAAACCTGAAAACAAAATCGGGTTTAGACTAGGGCCTGCGGATGTGGTTTTTTAGGAAGTGCTGTTTAGCTTTGGTTTAGTATTGGTTTTGTTCTCTTGTGTACAGGCTCAGTGCTGTTTAGAATTCGCTTAGTATTGGAGTATTGCTTTGAGCTGGCCAAGCAAGTCAAGGCAGCTCAAGGGAGAAGTTCTACTTCAGACGTGAGGGAACCAACACGCACGGATGGGGTCATTCTTAACAGCACGTACTTTGGGTACCTTTCTCGACATGTTTTTTATGTGTTACAGTTGACTCATTCAAGAGCGGCGCCCACAGAAGCTGTGTTGTTGGGAAAGGGGAGAACCCAAGAGCAATCCTATCAGAGTGCAATTGTTAGGTAGGAGCCCATTGAATGGGCATTGACCAGGATTTCTGTCGGTTTGCCTGAACCTGAAAGAACATCAAGTGGCTTGCTGGTTTTCCAAACGTGCTTTGTCTCCGCAAATTTGACTCCGTTTGTTCGCCTTCCGGGCAAGCACTGAACATGGACCGCATCATCATCGGGAAAACACGAGTGCGAGCCATCATCATCGGGATAACACGGGCCACGCCCGCTACATTGCCAGAAGAAGCTGGGGGGTACTCATCGAAAATTCAATTGAACTCAAGGGCATGTTCAGGCTGGCAGTATATGGGCTTGGCTGGAAATGGTGGACATCATTTAGGCGGGGATTTATGCCCACCAACCACTTTTCATGGGGTTCATCATTAAACATAATAGCCATATATGTGCATATTTACATACAGACATGTTATGAATATACAATATATATATACAATATATATATATATATAAATACACATACATACGTATACCCGGGAAGCACGCAAGACTAGCCATGTATATATGTATATATATATATATGTCACGCCCAGAGCCAGTTTTGGGTGAGCTCGTGATAACCTGGTCAAATGGCTTCCAGATTTCCATCCCGAATTGCCAACGTCCAGATTTGAGCCGCGCACAAACCCCTTGCTTCCTCAATGAGGGGATGGGAAAACTTGGACTGCTTCTCGTCCACCCCAACCGCCGTCCAATGTTGCTAGTAGGCCACCCTTGACTTGTCAACCTGGCACCCCTCAAGGTTGAAGACCTGAACCGTCACCATCCCCAACAGGATAATGAATGGGCCTTCCCCTGTTGTGTGTTTGTCTTTTTCAATTTCAGGGAGGGGATGGTCACCTGAACAGCACATGGCACAAATGCGAAATCCCGGTGCGTGTGCCTTGCTTGGGCGAAATGAAGGCAACTTCTTCCGATTCTCATTTGGTTTGGGGGTGCCTGATACACCCATATGAGCTAGAGTGACTTGGAATTGGAAGCGGACAAAACGGGTCCTTACGTGGCCCCATCGTCCAAATTCTCAACCACCCGGTTCGGGCGCGCCACTGTGCAAGGTCCCTACTGTCTTCAGGAAAGGATTGGTCGGTCCAGACATATGACTTACCATGACCTGGGGAAGTCAGAAGCTCAGAATCGGCGGACTCCCCCAAACAAACACGCCACACCCAGCCTGGTGTCTGCAGTTCCCTGAAATGGCTCTCAAAAGCGTACTCCCTGTGGGTGCCTGAAATTTCGGACGATCAAGGGCGTTGTCAGATGGTGTGTTTGGAGAGGTCGTTCTCTTCAAAAACCGATCGCTATTTCCCCAGGGCTTTTGGTGGTTTTCTCGAAAGATCCGGATCCCGGGGTTCAGAATGGAAATGGAAGTTACCCCTAAATATATACCTGGAGTCTCCATGACCCTTAACAAATCAAACCTTACCCCTAGAATATTCAAAAAGACATCCTCTCAGGCTCCGGAGCTGCTATGGCCGGGTGGTGGAGCTAGAGGAGCTGGTGAACCTTTGCGGGCCGGAGGCCGTGGGGCCGTGGGGCCGTGGGTTCGGAGATGGGTTCAGGTGAGATCTCAGGTCCTGGTTCGCTCAGGTGTTGGGATCTTTTTTGGTTTAAACAAAAAACTAGGTGTGTCTCAGGCTTTTATTGAGCTTTTTTGGTTTTAACCACTAGTTTCCCTCAAAACCACTAGGTTCCTCAGGTTTTCGGATCTTGGGTTTCCAGTGGTGTTCTTTCCGTAAAGCCCACGAAAGGTTAAAGTTTTAGCAGGGGGTCTGAGGAAATGAGGGAACTGAGGGACATCAGGGAAATGAGGGAAGGGATGTGGGAGTTGCTTTTTGACCACGGACTGTCGAAGAATCGTCAGGGACTCCTTTCTCCCCGCCTCCACATCCCCCGTTCGCAGTTGGAGGACCTGTCTTTTATCCATCTGACTTCGAGGGTACTGCCAAGAATCTCCGCGTCTGAGCAACAAAACACCAGATTCTTAGTCTGGAAAGCCTGAGCCAGGTTGCGGAAATTGAGTTAGGAGCCACTACGCCTTGCACTCCAACCCCAAAGAAACTCGAACAAACCCTTTGTTCTCCCTCGGTAGACAGGTAATTTTTTAGACCAACTGTTGTTGCTTTTTTTAAACGTGGCCTGACCATGATATGTTGTTTCGTGGCGCCAGAAGGAAATGGGAGCGCAAGAACTCGGAGAAGCTGTGCAGCTCCATGATTTCCGCGGTGCAACCTTTTAAACTCTTTGGACACAGAACACGCAACAAGGCAACGCGCACACATGATCCACACCCACATCCCCTTTCGGGCTGGTAGGGATGGTCATCAACCTGAGAGAGGGCAAAGTTCGACCAGAATTCACAAGTTCCCCTTGCGATGTTCCGAGGCCCTCCGCTAGGCCCGTTCAACAAATTATGGGTATGTGTCAAAAAGAAAACAGCAAACCCCTGACAAACTGTGGTTTGCCGTGTGCTAAACCGCCAACATTATGGTTTGCCGTTTATTAAACCACCAAACTGGTGGCTTTCTGTTTACTAAACCACCAGAACTGTGGTTTTCCTGTTTTTAGCCCACCCAAGAAATACCTTCAAAACATCCCTCACAGACACACATGTCCCGAGGTTTTGGAGAACCACACCACCGTGCCCTTCCAAACCCTGTGGATGCGCAGCAAAACCAAGGCGCGAGAGAGTTTGGACGCTTCGCCTATGTTGGTGGGGTTATTTGATTTTGTCTTGGTCTTGTCTTGGGAACTTTGTGCTTTCCTTTTTTGGGGGAGGATGTTTGCTTTTTGTGAGCAACCTGGTTTTGCACTTTTGTCTGCACTCGGAAGACGACTTCCCTTCGAAAAGAGGGCAACTGCGCACTACAGCCTGCTTGTTGGAAGTGCCACAAAGAGCTGAACGAGTACACAACATATTCTCCTATGACCATGACTATGACTGAAATTGGTTTGAAGTGCCCCCACCCCCCCATTCTGATCATTTAGCCCCTCATATTGCCTCAGACTTTGACTAAAAATTCGCGGTTCAAAGCGCGGAAGCCCATTGGAACGCGAGCCATTGGAACCGCATCTTCGTGCGTTTGCACGGGCTGGCTCCCGGGGCTCAAGCGGGTCCTTCAGCAACTATTGGAGAAATGCTGGGCAAACATTTTTTTTTTTGAACGATGCACTTGAGCCAGTTCAAAAACACATTTTCTCCAGTGTCATCATCTTCCTCCAAGAGGACAACAACTGGTTTTTTACCGACGGTGCTTGAAGTCTTGCCACGCGTTCATGCTATGATTCTTGAGTGTTTAGGTTGCGCAGCCGGACAGTTTGACGAACTGCTTGGCGGCTTGACCTCATTGGTGGCCCGACTCCGACCTTTTGATTTGCAGCTGGTGAATACTTGGCTGTTGAATGGTTTGATTGTGAATAGGGCTACAAACTCAGGAAACTCCAGCATATCAAGGCATGCGGGAAGCTTGAGACCCGCTCGGAACCCTCGCTGGACCAGCAGCGTCATCCAAGTGCAGCGACCGCAAAACTGCCAGCCCAAGAATAACGGGGCTCAAGAAGCCCAAATAGCCAAACACCGCCAACTAATGTCAACCCCGGATTAAGCAGAACTCCTGGTTGATTCTGCTCGGGGGGTGTCCCTTAGTGCGGATTCATCACTTTTGGAGAGAACACCTCCCTTCTTATGGGACGGGTTTACTAATCCTGGGTCAACTCTAAGCTGCCAACTGGCTTGCAAACTGAATTGCCAACTGAGTTACCAGCTGAGTTGCCAACTGTGCCATACTGGTTGGCGACTGAGGCATTGTGTGTGATTCTTTTACTCCGTCGTCCGTGCTGCCGACGCCGCCTTCTCCGACAGACGCTCCCTTCCTCCCTCCCTCCTTACCTCCCTCACTCACTCCCCTCCTTGCTCCCTCACGCACTGACTCGCTCCGCCCCGGCTCGCTCCCCTCCACTCCGCTCCGCTCCACTCCACACAACGCCACTCCAGTCCACGCCACGCCGCCGCACCCCACCCCACACAGCCCACAGCCCACAGCCCACAGCCCACAGCCCACGCGCCCCGCCCTGCTCCGCCCTGCACTGCCGCGCAGGTGGAATCTTCAGCTGCCGCTGCAATCCGCCAAGACTCCGTTCACAACCGCGGCTCCTTCCTGTCCTGTCACCCCAGCCCACCCCAGCCCACCCCAGCCCACCCCAGCCCACCCCAGCCCACCCCAGCCCACCCCAGCCCACCCCAGCCCACCCCAGCCCACTCCGCTCCACGCAGACACTCACTCTTTCATTCACTCACAGTCACTAAACTGCTTAGCAGCCCTGGTCATATGTGAAATGGTCATAAACCACCGTAACAGAACCATGGTAAGGGTTTTAAGGGAGACATGACCATGGCCCACATAGCAAGGATTCTTGACCATGCCACATATTACAACCGTGGCAAGCTGGTTTTTTCCAGGGAAACCAACCAGATAGCTGATAGCTAACATCGGACTAGGGGGGAAGCAGAGCTTTTTCCGTAGGCGCCCTGGATCAACGGCACGCGGCCGGAACTGGTCTGGGCGCTGCGCCCCAGTGTGATGGGAGGTTTGAGGATGGGAGCACGGGTGTTTTATATGGCGTCTCTTAAAATGGTATGTCGATTTTTAGGGGGAACCCCTTTTGGAGTGGTTTTTCAGGGGGAACCAAAAGGACACTGACTCAAAGGAAACTCACTCACAAGGGGGTCCATTTTGAGGCCGGTGCCTTAAAAGGGGGTTCCAGTGCGGCAAGGGAAAGGAAGAAAAGCAGGCGTTTCCTCCAGAATTGCAAGCAAGTCAGGGTTGCAACCCAGCTCCTTGTGCCTCAAACAACCAGACCAACAACCCTGGATCGAATCTTGGTGCGGTTCGAATCTGGGTGATTTGGTGCATTCCCAGTCAGCTTTTTAGAGAGCGTGTTTTTTCCACGTTGCGCGCCTTTGGCTTTTCGAAAGCAGCGGGTCTTTTAGCATCCTCAGCATCGCCCGCAATTGGGCTTCTAAGATCAGCCTGTGATAGGTTTCCATGGCGCGAGCCAACAACGGTGCCCAAAATCTGGCCCCTTGGTGTGGCAACATGTGACCACGCAGTAACCAAGGCCCCCCGACAAGGCCGCCTTTTTCGAACCAGATTCGGCGCCGGATACCCGCCCAAAGTCTCGTCTCTGATCTCATCGCCTCCGGGCCCAAGGGCCTCTCCGGATTCTGACGCGGTTCATGTCCGGGAAGTCAAAGGGTACAGGACTTCAGCTTGTGCATCCGTACGGGTGCAATGGTCAAAAGGCCGGGTTTGGGGATGGTAGACACTTTTGGTTTCTGGAAACACCAAATGGTAAGCCACAAAAAATGGCCCCTGTATGGGCATGTCTTTTTCAGGTGGTCCTTCGAAGGAAGTCAAGCCCCTCTTTTTTTCAGTCCGGAGTCGTTTGGAAGCGCGACTCGGGACCCGGGGACCCCCACAGATTCGGAGGATCCAGGGATCTGATCCAAGATGGGCCTGCGGCTTCTTCGTAAGGAGCCGCCCACCAAAAATGGTCGGCCAGTGGATGCAGGTGACACCGGGACAAGCGGGACACCCCGCCCGAGAGCGCCGGATGGCTGGAATCTGGCAGCTGTCAATTTGGAACTGGCCGCCAGTCCTGAAGCTAATTTTCTATTTTCCCCTGTTGGTTTTAAAGGGAATCTATCACTGGACACATTTGCGCGAATTTTTGCCAGGGGTCCAAAACGCAAATGGAAGCCCACTTGGTGATCCAAACCAGTGCCTGAAGGCTGCCTGAAGGCTGCCTGATGGCTGCCTGATGGCTGCCTGATGTCACTGAGGCTCCGCCCCACGGCCAGGCGCAGAGATGGGGATCTGGACATGGTTCGTTTTTGTTTGGAAAATGCGCATTTGGGGTATTGCTCTAGGGGGATGCTTCTTTTCAGGGAGCCATCAAACACCCAGGTGATACAGCTGGTTTGTGAAAAGAACGATGGTATGCAACCACGATTGTTTTGGGTGCGTGGTCCAAATCCTTTGGCACAGGCGTCTTGGACTTTATCAACGAAAGCTTGAGACCGATGCCCTGTTTGGTCCGGCGAACATTTTGGAACTCGCCGGGAACCGGCTGGTGTCTCAAAATCGGGCGAGCCTCGTTGCATGGTTTGGCTCCTCGGCTGCTGCCGGCCTGCAAAGCGTGTTGTTTTTTAGGTTTTTTGTTTGTGGTTCTGTTCAGTTTTAGTTGGGGCCCGGGGCGGCAAACAAGCTATTTGCTACCATACCAAGGGCTGGAAAGTAACTTTGTAGCCCCGAATTGGGGGTGGGTTGAGGTTTTGTTTTAAGTGACATGAAGCTGGCTTGAACCCAGGACCCCAAAGGCCCCCGAACAGGGGCGAGTGGTTGGCTGAGGTCAACTGATGCCAAAGAGGCCCGCATGCTAGAGAAAGAGGGCCAGAGTTCCAAGTTGGAAAAGCAGCGGCACGATCGCCCTGAGCTGGCCAGCAACGACTAGAGTTCTAAGCCATTTGCGCTCCACTGCTTCAGACTCTACGACTAAAGGGCTTTCGGAGGCTTGCAATCCACCTAAAAGGAGGGCGCTCACATGGCCATGGACTAGGGCCTTCAGGCACGCACTGTGAAAGCTGCATATCATTGCATATCACTTCTACACCACTACCTCTTTTCCGACACTTTCTACGTAGCCAGCGACAGGAAATTCCACAAAGCATTCTTGTTTGTTGGTGAAGTGTCCAGTCGAACTTCCTGCAGCTCCGTGACGCTTGGGGTGCTGAACCCCAGCTTCTCAAAAGGCACAGCCTTGTTCAGTCTGAACACATCTCCACGGAATCCAAGTCCCAACCTGCCAAGACGAGCTTCTGTTTTGCCCCATGAAGGAGCTAACATGGGGGGGGCTTGTCAATTACTCAGTCTTGTGTTTTCTCGTTTTGTTTTTTTGTTCTCCTTCATTTTTTCCTTCTTTTTTTTCTTCTTCTTTTTTTTGCGAGGCGGCTGCAAATTTTGTTGCAGCCATGCCATGGGAAGCCTCCCGGGCTTGGGCCTCGGGCTTCCTATCGTGCCTCCCAGGCGGCTCCTTTCCGCTTCAAAGCGCGCCCGAGAGCCCGCGCGGATGTGCCGCTGAAACTGGAGGCCGGATCGTAGAACTTCAGAACCCGTTCCATAAAGGGTGTGCGACAGGGGTCTGATTCCCCACGTTTCACTCATGGACACCCCCGTAATTTCAATGGGGTGTATTGCCATTAGGGATGGTCATGGACCCCATGGAGATGTTAGACCAGGACCCTCTCTAATTAGTACCGTGACAAAATGGCCCACTGGCAGAGTTTGTACCATATGTGGCTCTTGGTGGTGGGTAACCCCCAAGGATATTTGGCCTCCTGGTAGGTTGATGCACAGTTTCCCTTGGCTTGCTTTCATTCTCTATGTCTGCGAAGCACCCTTGAACCGCCCAAAAGTCACGGCGCACAAAAGAGCCAGAAGTTGCACCTGAAGTTCAAAAAAAGAGCGCCCTTTCCTTCTATCCTACATCCACCCAGGCAGATGTTCGCGTCAATATTGGACGCCAGAAAGCCTTGCGCTTATTGAACCCGCGGTTGGCCCGATACTGTAGGGTCTTTGGAAGCCACCTAAGTACAAACCTGTGTCTGACTCAAGTAACGGGCAGGGTTTATTTTGTGTACCTCTTGTGGGCCTTATTAGCAAGGCCAAATACGGCCAAACAAGGTTTCCAGGAGAGAAGAGTGCCTAAAACGGCCTCAACTCATTTCCCAAGTTGCCTCACATGCTGGTTGGGAGTATCATTGTAGCTGTAAAAGTGCAGCTGACCAGCCCACGCCCACTCATTCGGAAGGGCCACATAAGTTGCTACACCAATCAAGTGAAACAAACCTGCAACCATGCAAATCGCAGGGTCGCCCTTTGCAGACCTCATTGAGGGTGCCTCGTATTTCCTCCGTTGGTTTAGATGTCAAATATCACCTCAGCCAACTTATTTTGCGAGGTTCCTTTTGGTGTGATGTTCAAGTGTACTTGAGCCTTACACGGGGCACACACACGTGGAGGTGGAGGTTTTCACCAAATTGGTCCATCCCTTTTTGGGCGCGTCTTTAGTTCGGGGACCCCCAACGTGGTTTTTCCTTTTGGTTTCCCTCCAAAAAGACGGCTTTTGGTGGTTCCAAGGGAAGCACCCCGGAATTTTCGGCCCCGTTTGTTTTGGACCCCTTTTTGTTGGACCCGCTTCTGGTGGTTCCACGGGGGGGGGGGGGGGGTTGTGAGTCGTGAGTCAACGGGAAGGAGAGCTTGGGCTACATCTTGAGCGCCTTCCTTGAAGAGGGCGTCGCCGAGGCGAGTCGGAGCTGAATGAATCGGAATCTCAGGGAATCTCAGGGCCAACATAAATAGACCATTCATCTGGGAGAAATGGGAATCTCTTGGGATGAACGGGAATCTCAGGTATATAGACTTGGGGTATGTAAGAGAAGTGTGGTATTTTCAAGTTTTAGCCCCTTACAGTTTGTTGGAATGGGGGTGAATTGTGGTAGAACATTCTTCTTAAGGGCCCAAACAACTAGGGACCTTGCCAGCCACCCCCCAAAGATCGACCTACCGCTGCAAGGGTTGGGGGTGGATGGGTCTGCTCTGGTAGAGCTGGTAAGGCCTTCTTTTTTCAAGAGTGAGGGTTTTGGGATGACGCTTCAGGCAACTCTTTCGTTTGACCTCACTGGTCTCACATGAGTGCTCTGTCAAAGGTAGCCTTCAATCTTATTGTAAACCGACGATAGTTCCCCACAGCAGCTCCTGTTGGCTATGTTAGCAGGCGCTTGTAGATGGTTTCATGAGGGTTACAGTCCTTTACAACAATGTTGTTAGGACCTACTACCCTTGGACAGGGGTTAACAAGCCTTAATAGGTAACATATTTTGTCAACCCATGCTTCCCCGGTCTTTCCAACATCTATGGAGCCTCCATGAAGAGTCAACGAGCACTCTGACAGCGGCCGGGCTAACATCCGGGTTGATTTTGTTTTGATCATAGGTGCCCTTTTTAGTTTAGTTTGGTTAGAAATAGATGGATCACTGGCTTAGATGGTTTTATTCCATTTGCCAGGGCCATTTAGTTCACCACAAGGACACATGCGTTTGATTTAGCTTGGCGATTCCACCGATTCAAGATTAAACGAGCGAAAGCCTCCTTTTGGGGATCCAATCCATATTTCAGGTTTTGGAATTCTTTGGGATGGCTCTTTCCGGCCCAACAGTTCAGCTCGGATCAGCTCGATTCGGCTCAAATTGCAGGGGGGGATACAGCCGCAGTTCCCCTTGCAAGCAATGCGTTCCGCACAGAGACATAGGATCGCCCAGAATCTTGCGGAGTGATTTAGGGCATCAATACATGTTCCAGCAGTTTGAGGTTCAGAGCGGTATTCCAAGCTCAAGCAAACGGTGAATCAGGAACAAGATGGCGTGCCATCTTTTGCCGTGCCTGCTTCGACCAGGGAACTAACCTATAGCTCGATTTGTGTTATTCTCGGCGCCCCAAAAAACGACAGCACCAGGCCTCACCCGGTTCGTCTGTTCTTCCCTCCGCGGATCGCGTTTTCGTGTCACCCGCGCTGCCTTCGCGGCATCCGTGGACGCACGGAGGCCTGGAATCGGAACGGCATCGGGGCATTCGATGTGATTTGGCCGCGGTTGTCAAGACCAATGGGATCCCATTTTGGGGCTTTCGGTGCACCACCCACTTTCGTCTATTTTAATTAATTCGTGGGGATTGGGATGTTCACTGGGGGTACGGGTTTTTGACCCATGGCGTCTGTCTCAAAAGAAAGAGGGACGAACCACCCCCACCAAGGCGCCTACGGAGGATTTAGGGGCCAATAAGCCTCAACTGCCTGTAGGGTCCCCCGATACGGTATTAGGGCTCCCCAATGGTGGAATCCCGGAATCCCCCTTGTCATGCCTGCGAAAACAGTCCTTAGGCGCGATCTTTTGACGTGCGTCTTCACCTCTTTAAGGTGGCCCTTCGGTATCGGTTGGTAAGTACCCTCTTGTGACTGCCCCTTCCCTTCTTCCCGGCCCACTTTATAAGAATTGTTTATAACAATGGCAAGCCCGACAAAAGGCATCGTTAAAGGGAGTTGCAGAGCTGTCCCTCGCTAACAATTGTTCATGGTCTTAGTTTTTTTGGGGGGGGACTATATAGTCTCGAGTGCAGAGGACATTGCAGGACATTCTAGGGTTTCCAAGTTGTTCTCCTTTCCTTCCAATGGTTGACAGCTCGAAATCATGTCGAATGTGCGATTCCTCTCGTTTGCGAGTGGCCCATGCTAGATTCTCACCTATTCGGGGAGCTCACCTTCTGACCATGATCCAGGTCCTTTAGCTGGAAAGCTCGCCTTAGTTCGAGTTTGAAAATTGAAACTCCAAGAAGACATCACTGGAATCGGCACCCAATGGCCTGATTGTCGGCGCAAGAAGCCTGGGGACTTTTGGTTGAAAGGAAACAAAAGGGAGCGATTCGCCAAATTTCTAGTGGTTTGGCCGCTTTAAGAACCTGGGTAATCCTGCGAAACAGGTTGTGACTGATTGGTTCCTGCCGCCCCGCATGAAGAATTCAGGGTCTCAGGGAGCTAGAGAAGAAAGCTGAAAAGCCGGGTTTCCCCTTTGGAAGACAAGACCAACCTGAGGTTGGGGGTCCCTATTCCTGAGGTTTGTTCACTGTCCCACTGACTTTCAGGGTGCTTGCCTTTCCGAGAGTACGACCTACAGAACCCAAACACTTAGGGGCCGTGACCAGGAGGTGCCCTTTTTAGCTTGGTTTACGACCCACGGGGAGAAAGCGCGAACAGGCACTGGGGTGTTCTCTTTTTGTGGCGTTCTTTGGATAAGGGCTAGGATCGGCCTGACGAAGTTAAACTGGCTGGGGAGCTAAATAGTACAAGGTGAACACTCATAGTTGAGTTTCCCCTCTTACACTGGACTAAAGCATAGTCGTACAGTGGGAACCCCAGTATGATTATTTAGGCCGTCAAATCATTTGAAATCCTTTGGCCATTGACCATGCGCGGGTCAGAGGGGTCACTTGCTGGGGCCGTACTGGGGCCATTTTAAGGATTCTGTGATGGAAGGGTAGTCTTACCAGGGCTTGGAGAAGGCTTCGCAGTTCCGGGGACGCGCTTTAACTTTGCTTGTTTTAGTTCTGTTTATTTGAAGTGGGGGCTGTAACGAATGTCGTTTCAGCAAAGTTTAAGTTTTCTGCTAGTACCCTGGAAGTCAGTTGGACCATTCAAAAGGTTTGCCAGCTGTCAATTTCTTCAAGAGGACACATGAACGTCAAGCCTTGGTGCTTGCCAGCCGTACCCTTAGACTTGTAAAGGTTGTGAGTTTATCTACAGGGATTCACGTCATCTGCAGAACGGTGTGTCCTTTTGTTGAACATCGATGGCCCCGGTAGATTGTGAAACCAGCTGTTGGTTGAAATCCATGGATTTCCCCGGTAGACTATGAAGGTCAACCAGGAATCGTTCCATCTATTTCAAGTATTCTACCGCGGCCAAAAAGGACACCTATGATCTCGTCCTAGTGCGTTGTTGATCCCTAAGAGTTCAGCTGTCGGCGGGGATCTCAACCAAAAGGACGGCGTTCTGTGGGTGATCCTTTGTTTTCTGCAGCCTTTTGACTCTTTGGACTGCCAGGTACCATGGCCTCGCTTTGGCAGATGCCGGGCACCCATGAAAGCGTCTCGCAGCCGGCGCGCGGATGGTTCAGGTCCCAGAAACGGGTTTGTCTAGGGAAACCCGCATTTGGCTAGTTTGAAGGGGAAAACCAGAGGATATCCGTGGCGCCATTTTGTTGGGGGGGGGTTCACTAGAAAAAGGCACGCTCTAATATTGAATATGAAGCAGAATCTGATTTTTATAATTTTTGGTGTACTCTAAAGGGGATTTAGTATTAGGCAAAAAGTGGCTAAGCTTTTTGGCTAAGCCAAGGGCTCTTTGGGGAGGTGGTTTGCAGGGTTGACTAACAACTGCTTTTCTTGCTTTCCGTGATCACCGGTAAAACAACCAGAAGCGAGTCCCCAAGGGGAAACTTTTGGATATTGTTTTTGGAAAGTATAAGACATGAGGCGCGTTCGTTGATGGTTGAAAGGGAAGCCAAAAGGAAAGCTCCGCCCACCATTTTGGGAGTCCCTCTACTAGGTTCCCCAGTAGTGCCCTTTTACCCTTTTTTGGGGGAGGGTTAGACTACAGAAAAAAAGGGTACCCTTATTCTAACCTCTCTACTGGAGGGCCTAGTCTATGTTGACACCAATCCAAGTCCCTCGTCACAGCCCGCCTCAAGCCCGCCTCAAGCCGCTCCCGCCAACTCCCCGGCCGCCATGCGCTCGCTGTTCTTCCTGCTCGCCCTTGCGAGCCCTGCGGCGGCCGGGCAGTGCAAGTCGGCCTCCTACAGTGACTCGGCGTGAGGCGATGTGCATCTCTATGGCTAATTGGTTGGATCTTTGGACTTTAGCTTTTCCATGGGAACCATAAACAGCTAAGCCTTTTGCAAAGAGGTCAACAGCAACTAAGACATGGTTTTGGAAAATAGGACTTTCTGTGACAAGGGGCCGCTTCCTTCCAAGTGACAAAGTAGAATCGGAATGTCGCAATGACACATGTTGGCACCACGATGTTGGTTCTTTGGTGGGCACGTCTTTGCTTAAACACTTGGCTCCCTCTATTTCATTTGGTGGCTTTGACCATGGCCCATGTCAGGTGCCTTGGGTGATGTGATATACAGGACACCGTGAACCCAGAGGGACAGTTTGAGGTCCATTTCTAGTTGAAGCCTTTTTGACCCTTTACTCAAATGGTGTTGGACACGATTTGCAAATCCGCGGCGACATCCAGCATCTGCGGAAAAATAGTGGGAACCAAACAAAATGGTTAGCTTCCTTTCGGTTTCCCTGTACATCACACACACACAACACGCAACACACAACACACAGAACGCAACGCACAACACACAACACACAACACACAACACACAAGACACACCCACACACAAACACGCGCACATCAACTTACGACATTCTCCACTACATTATTATTAACTTTTTGCAAGTGATCAAGGCACCGAGCCGAGCATTTGTTTTGAGTCGTTGTTCGGTTTTCTGGGCTGGTCCTTCACCTTGTCGGGAGGAACACCCCACCAGGTTGATATAGTCCGTAACAAGTTCATGGAGACTAATCCAAGAAGGGTCCCCCCAACCCAACCCTTGCCACAAGTTCCTGGAGACCCATCCAAAAAGGCCCCCTATTTTAAGAAACGCTGGCAGTCAAACCAACCCTTGCCACCCTGGTG